GGTGAAACGTTCACTGTGACTGTCTTCAGGACTCCAGTGAAATGTTCACTGTGACTGTCTTCATGACCCCCAGTGAAATGTTCACTGTGACTGTCTTTAGGACCCCCGGTGAAATGTTCACTGTGACTGTCTTCAGGACCCCCGGTGAAATGTTCACTGTGACTGTCTTCAGGACCCCCGGTGAAACGTTCACTGTGACTGTCTTCAGGACCCCAGTGAAATGTTCACTGTGACTGTCTTCAGGACCCCCAAGTGAAATGTTCACTGTGACTGTCTTCAGGACCGTATTGTCTACAAATTGTTGATATAAAAACAAGTGAATCACCTATTTTAGCACACTAGAGGGCAATCTATAATTATGAATTTTTTCCATTTCGCATTATGCCATGACCTTGTCTTGATGTTTGTGGTATATTCTGGCTTTGATATTTTGAGTAATTAAGAAGGGATAATGTTCTTATCAAATGGACAACCATGGAATAACTAGATAATTTTTTTCAATTCCAAGCAATGGTACATATATAATACCAGAAAAAATGGAAAAGATAATCCATTGTCTTTGGTAATATACATTGTTGATTTCACTTTAATTTACTCACCACTGGGACCTGGTGGAGAAATTGGTTTATTTTCCTGAAATTAGAAAAAATAATATATTATAATTTTAACAACTAAATAAATATGTAAAAGTATACATATTTATTTTAATAGCAGTTTTAATTATTCATTATTTTGACATTTGAGAATATTATTAGATTTAAATTAAAATTTGGTATACATTATTGTAATTAATACCATGAGTGATTCACATACATACCACATTTCATCAGATTTCACGGGATGTGGTTGTTCAGGCTGCACATTGTCAAATAATGGTCACAATTTGTCTAAATAAACAACGCATTTGAATCATGTGCATATATGACGTTATGTGTTATCCAGTGTGGGACCCACATCAAACACTAGTGTCAACAATGAACATCACTACTACCCTTCACACGAGAAGCAACACTCGTGACATTTTTGGAAATATGCTATATGTTTTGCATAAAAAATTATGGAAATCAATAGGATACAATTTGTAATCTTTCTTTGATCACCGCAAATTAAAAAGAAACAATCATTATTTGTTTTAAATAAATTAATAGAGACAGCGAAATATGGTACGAGTTTTTATGGTATAAAGTATAGAGAAACCCATATTGGACCAGTCAGTATTTATTTTGCATAATATAATAATTTTGTTTATAAACTTAAATTGAACCTAAGCAAGGTCAATGAACTTTGCAAACTCACTAGTATCATGTAGTAAGCAAAGACTGAGAAATTGAAAGGGAAATAAATAGCTAGCAAGTATAATTAGAGTGACAGTTGACTGATGACATTTAGATTTCCTGTTACACTGAATAAACTAACACGACATGCATTGAATAATAAATAGATATTCTAAGCTCAGTTACAATGCGTCCATGATGTCAGAATTTCAGTTTGCAAACATGTTTTGTTCAGAATACTGTTTTAGACTTATTAAATAGGTTGAATTAAAATTTGATGAGCCATAAAAACCAATTGACCTGTCAATTTTAAATCTAGTCACAGTCCTATAATACGTTAGAAGGCTTGTGACCCACAAAATATCCATCAAACACCAAGTTTGCTAAAATTGAACCCAATGATACAGTATCTATGCTTGTGTACACCAAGTATATTTGTAATTGTAAATAAATGAATAAAACACAGATATGTAAAATCTCAATTACCCTACACTGTGCTTCCCAGGGATTGAAACCACTTTCGCAGTAAAAATGTACATACTAATTTGCATAAATATTCCAAACAGAAATTGTGATGAACAACATAGTTATTAAATATTCAATTACAAAACACACACAATGATTCCCTGACAAACCTTTGATTGCATCAAGATTACAGTAATGCAACTATATATACACAAGTTTTCAGCAATTTATCAATATGATTTAAAATTTTAGTTAATGCACAATGGAAATGGCAGTATGCTAGTCAACATGTATAATGACTGTGAAAGTGCTGTATCAGTGTGTGGCAGCGAAGCAAAGCATTGTGGGTAGTGTCGCTATGCTGCTTGTATCCTGATTAAATAGTAATCTAATCATGCTACAATGGGGATCAAGGCAAATAAATAATTTGTATGAAATAAGAAATAAATAAACACAACAAAATAACTTCCAAATAGGCAACTGCGGTTTGTAGTTTGTAGTTCCATTTCAATTGAATTGTCAAATCAGTTTTGAATGACATAGTTTCCTTTCATGTGTTAAATTGAATTGTCAAATCAGTTTGGAATAGTCCTATTATAGTGGCAACCTTTGATCATGGGAATTGAATGTCAATTTTTATAAGTCTATACTTTTTAGTATGCATGAAGCAACCTGATTTCCGAGTCAGATTATCACAACAAAAACCATGATTTATTTGCGCAAGAAACCTGTGCAAGCCATTTGTGAACTATGATAATATATAAATTTATTGTCATTATAGGATGCACTCTGAATATAAACAAAAAATCATTAATATACTACAGAATAATGCCTGGCAATGTTTTTTTTTCAAACAAAAGAATCTGTATTTTGATAGGTTTGTACTTATATTGTATAATCTAGAATTCATATATTCAAACAGCAGTACTAAGATTCATTGAGATGAAAATATTTAGATGTTGGAGCGATTATTCACTGGATTTTAAATTGACCAGCAAAGCAATCAGTTCTATAGCAAGTTTATTCATTCAGAATTAATTTAATTAATTATTTAATTAATATAGAAATTAAAACTTAATAAATTTATTATTAATGCATTTACAGTATATAGTATAATATATAAACAAAAATGTCAAGTCATCTTTCGTTTTACTAAAGATTACTTTTATTTTCTTAATAAAAGTTTCATCTAAATCAAGAATGATAGATGAGCGGTAAAGATTTTAAATTCTTGTCATGCTCTACTTTTCTCACAACCATTTTACAATAACCGAGTCACTTAAAGAAAATATAATGCTGCAGAGCTGCAGGTACATGCAAGAGCAATGTGATTATCCTCAAGCTTTTTAAACGATTTTTTTCCATGCTTAGGCACAAAAATGCCATGCTTGAAAATCCAGATTATTGATATAGATTATTTCTATTGTAAACAAGATATACTAGAAAGTGCTTCCATGTGAAATATATATTCTTTGACCACACCAATCAGGATTACTGGTAAAAAAAAATTATAATTATTATTTTTGGTTATTTATGAATGTATTTTTGGTTTTACTTGCAGTTATGTTATTTATATTGTATCTTGGATACCTTAATTACATGTACGATATGTATATATATATATATTTCAAATGTTCAGTTTTCATGGAAACTCCTAGAAAAAGAACAATATACAGAATTTTTGAATAAATATAAAAATCTTAATATGTACCTAGATTTTTGAATGCCAGCTCAGAAATTTTGTCTTGGCCTTAGTGTTATTATTCACGCAACTCTGAAATCCCCAGCATTGTACCAGTGCATCATGGTACTAGTAGATGTCATTTGAATTACACACCCCATCATGCTATGTATACAAATGTTACCAGAGGTGTTAACCTTGGATGCTAACATATCCCATGTCTGCTTTAAAGGAAAGGTAAATCCTGTCAATATTGTTGGCCATATAGCAGCAGTTATGTACACTTATTTGAATAATGGACAAAACAAATTAAAAAAATAAAAAAATAATAGAGTTATGATACCATATAATATTCTATATAGTCGCCGCCATCTTGGCAATTTTCAAGCGCCCTCTATTGGGTCAGACGAGAATGCAAGCAAGATTTATTTGTGCACTGTGACGTCAAAGGCTAGGTTAATTAGTGTCCAACTTAGGGGGTTACACAATGTATAATGAAGAGAAAAGTAATCACTTAGAGAGTCAAAATTCATCGCGCAGCTTTCAAGGGAGTGATGGCTGTCTGCAAATACACTACACTACTCATTTTGCCCAACCTTCCGCTTTTACAAAATAGAATTCATTTCTATCGACTATCAACAATCTAACATGTTTGTATTTTCTGCCGTGACAAAGCAGGAGTATTTTTGCACCCCCGTTTTGCTACTTCCGGGAAAGTGGTATATCTACCGCTTACTGCTTAATTTCCGACCGCGCGGTTTTGTCCGACCGGAAATCGACCGCATTTTAATCATTTTTTTAGCTCGCTGGCTCGCTCATTGAAAAACACTGTCCGCTCGCCCAAACACTGATCACTGATACATGAGTGGTCGAATTGGTGGTTTTGATAGTAAAGTATGAAAATACTATTAGTAAATTTTGAACGACACTTCAAATCTATAGTTGTACGAAACTTGTATCGTTCGAGACAGCAACTGCACTGGAACCTCCTGTTAGGTGATTTGGGTGCTTGTTCTAAATGTAATATTTTTATTTTATTTTAATGAGACAGTTACGTGAAAAAAAGATAGCTAACTCCTTTCGACAGAGTGGAGAAACGAGGAGAATATTAATGATTAATTCCAAAAATAACGATACCAAAATCACATCGGTCCACAGACGGTTGGTATGGTAACATTTGACATTCAATTTTCGAAATTAAGTCACGATCAGTGTCATAAATTATTCCCACAAAATAATATTTTCGAATAAAACGGCCACATGCTCTGAACAAATCCAACAGAGCTTGACATGTATGAATAATTTATTGGGCTTCAGAAAAAAAAATGTGTCAAATTTAATTATAGTATATTTGGTGACCAGTCGATGAACAATTCGAAAATCATGATTCACACGGAAGTCCTTCAGGGCTGAAAATCATCAACCCTACTCTGGTTTACCTGATTTCAAAACTTGCAAATAAAACTGATTCGCCGTGAACTCTAATATATCTCAGCCTATTTTTTTTTCTTTTTGAACTGTGGTCAAATCCCACCAGTTTGTCAAAATATAACGATGTTTTTCATTGAATATTTTTAAAGCCTGTCACAGCAAAAAAAAGTATGTGAATCGACGCCGGATATTGGATGGTACGACGACCCTTCAATTAACATCAAATATGCTTGGTTACAACATCAGTGATTGGCTGAAAGTCACCTGATCGGAGCGCGACCTGGGTCACAGAACCATATTTGTCCGTATTATCACAGGATAGAAAGAACCACACCTACATTTTCAACCATTTTTAGCGCGGAAATTGCCAGCATCTGTCGAAAAACTCGTGAATGTTATGGATCCGAATAAAATAAAGCTAGCGATTTCTAAGAATGGTTATTAATATATTCCCCGATGCT